TTATATAGATGTACTTTCCAGACTCCTAATTCGATTAGATTTCAGGTTTCTTCTTAATGAAAACTAGCAACTTATTGAATTAAATACTTTTTTTGGTTGCCATAGCAACTAGATAATATTAAAATAATAATACTGATAATATTAATAAATAAGTTGTTATGGTGCGTTCACACTGAAGGCGGTGACTGTGGCAAAGTCGGCAGATTCACATAGAATTCCTACAAAAACCGCGCTGTGAAGCGGCGAAGGGTGAACTCAGTGCGGCGAGAGCGTTCACTGCTCCGCTCTCACCGTTTGACGCTAGATAGAGCTGAGGTGTCAAACAGCAGCGCCGCATGGAGAGAGAGAGAGAGAGAGAGAGAGAGAGGAGGGTTGATCGCTGAAGTTTAAAGGAACTGAACTGTTCTATGACGTCGTGTCACGGCAGCCAATCAGGGACTGGTTGTAGGCAAAGCTTTTTTCACTTTAAATGGAATACAGAGATGGTATTAACACATTTAGAAATAGGGTTTGCTCTCAAGAAGTCTTTATGTGGATTTAAAAAAAGCCGTATTAATTTAGTCCTAGAAACATTGCTCATCCTTACTTAACCTCCAGCACAGAGCCCGGTCTGTCGCTGCCCTCTGCCCAGCATCCGTGCTTTCTGTGGGGGTAGATTAACAAAGAATCTTGCTGAATCCAACGGAATCAGAGCTGCGTCTGGATGAACGAAAGTGGACTTTTTTTTTTTTTTTTTTTTTGTTATCCAAAAAAAAGATGGTCTCCACCAGGCGATTGAAAAGTTGTTCATAGAAAACAAGTTAGCATTAGTCCGTGATGTTAAGTTTCACCTGTGCTTTTATTGTGAAATGCCGACAGCGAGACTGTGACAGGAAATGACATGGGGTTTCCCCCTGTGCAGGTCCAAAGCAAAGGGTCTGATTATTTACTAAATATTAAACAATGATTAAAGCCTTTATATAAGCTAAACATGCCTACTGTTCAATACCAGCACAGGAATAACATGTGATGTTATGCAATAACTTTATATCAGGAAATGAATGGAGCAGTAACACCGCTGTGTTGATGACGGTCCTAATTGAAATAATTCTATCTTAAAAACCAAATCAGCACAAACTACAGTTTTACCTGCCAAAATAAAGTAGCACTGAAAAGGTAGGCTAGAACAGTTGAATTTGGAGCTTAATGAGGGGGTAGTTGACTTCTGGGTGACCTAAAAAAATATTTAATATCTCTGAAAAAAACAGCAGCAGCACATATTCTCCTTTTTCACTTTTTTATTTCATTTTTACAAATGACCATTTTAGTGCAGCACAAACCTGCACTAAAGAAGCAATAACCATTCAGTGTATCTGATGAGGTTTTTTCACGGCAGTGGGGGGTGAGCTTCACGCAGCTGAGGCTCCTCCTATGTGACGATGCAGTCCAGAGTGGAAACATTGCATCTGAAATGCAGAGCAGTGAACT